TTCCTTGCAGAGTTTTTCAGGTCATTTTTGTAAACTATCATATCATTTGCAAATAGTGAAAGTTTAACTTCTTTTTCTATTTGTATTCCCTTTGATCTCCTTTGTTGTCTTATTCCTCTAGCTAGAATTTAAAGTACAATATTGAAGAGATATGGAGAGAGTGAACAGTCTTATCTTGTTCCTGATTTTAGAGGAATTGTGTTGAGTTTCTCTCGATTTAGTTTGATGTTAGCTGTTGGTTTACTTTTATTGCTTTTATTATATTCAGGTACGTTCCTGTTATCCCTGGTCTCTCTAGGACCTTTATCATGAAGGGGTGTTGGATTTTGTCAAAGCCTTTTTCAGCATCTAGTGTGATGATCATGTGGTTTTTTCCTTTGCAGTTTGCTTATATAGTGGATTACACTGATAGATTTTTGTCTGTTGAATGAACTCTGCATCCCTCGGATGAAGCCTACTTGATAATGATGAATGATTTTTATGATGTGTTCTTGGATCTGATTTGTTAGTATTTTATTGAATATTTTTGCATTGATGTTCATAAGGGAAACTGGTCTGTAGTTCTCTTTCTTAGTTGTGTCTTTGTATGCCTTGTGTACCAAGGTAATTGTAGCCTCATAAAAAGAGTTTGGCTGTGAGCCTACTGCTTCTATTGTGTGGAATGCTTTGAGGAATATTGGAATTAGCTCTTATTTGAATTTCTGGTATAATTCTGCACTGAAACCATCTGGGCCTGGGCTTTTTTTGGTTGGGAGACTTTTGATGACTGTTTCTATTTCATTAAGGGTTATAAGTCTGTTTAGATTGTTTATTTATTCTTGATTTCGTTTTGGCAGTAATATCTACCTAGAAAATTGTCCATTTCTTTTAAATTTTCAAAGTTTGTGGAGTACAGGTTTTTAAAATATGCCCTGATGATTCTCTGGATTTCCTCAGTGCCCGTTGTTATGTTCCCCTTTTCATTTCTGATTTTGTTAATTAGCATGTTCTCTCTCTGCCTTTTGGTTAGTTTGGACAAAGGTTTGTCTATCTTGTTGATTTTCTCAAAGAACCAACTCTTTGCCTCATTGATTCTTTGCAATGTTTTCCTGGTTTCTATTTGATTGATTTCAGTCCTCAATTTGATTATTTCCTGGTGTCTACTCCTCCTGGGTGAGTTTGCTTCTTTTTGTTCTAGAGCATTCAGCTGTGCTATTAATTCTCTAGGGTGATTGTTCTCCAGTTTCTTAGTGCTATGGACTTTCCTCTCAGCACTTCTTTCAGAGTGTCCCATAAGTTTGGGTATGTTGTATCTTCATTCTCATTGAATTCCAGGAAGTCTTTAACTTCTTTTTTTATTTCTTCCTTGACCCAGGAATGGTGGGGTTGTGCATTGTTCAATTTCCATGAGTTTGTGGGGTTTCTGTGATTTGTGTTATTGTTGAATTGTAATTTTAATGCTTGGTGGTCTGATAAAATACCAGGGGTTACTCCAATTTTCTTGTATCTGTGGAGGTTTGCTATATTTCCAATTATGTGGTCGATTTTAGAGAAGGTTCCATGTGACGCCGAGAGAAGGTATATCCCTTTGTGTTCAGATGGAATGTTCTATAGATGTCTGTGTGCCTTTGTATTTGGGGCATACATGTTCATAATTGAGACTTCATCTTGATGGACTTTTCCTGTGATGAATATGAAATGTCCTTCTTCATCTCTTTTTATTGATTTTAATTGAAGTCTATTTTGTTAGATACTAGGATTGCTACAACAGATTGTTTCTTGGGTCCATTTGATTGGAAAATCTTTTCCCAACCATTTACTCTGAGGTAACGTCTGTCATTGATGTTGAGATATGTTTCTTGTATGCAGCAGAAGGATGGGTTCTGTCTTCATAGCTATTCTGTTAGTCTGTGTGTTTTTATAGGCACGTTGAGACCGTTGACATTGAGGGATATTAATGACGATTGATGATTCTTGTTTGTTTTTGATTTATTGGTGGTGTTGTAATTTTTTGTAGGTTCTCCTCCCCTTTTCTTTTGGTGTTTGGTAAAGTGGGATTATCTATTGCCTATGTCTTTGTGAGTTTATTTATCTTTGTTGGGTTGAGGTTTCCTTCCAGTACTTTCTGAAGGGCTTGATTCATGGATACGTATTATGTAAATCTGGCTTTGTTATGAAATATTTTGTTTTCTCCATCTATGGCAATTGAAAGATTTGCTGGATATAGTAGTCTGGGCTGGCATCGTTGTTCCCTTAGCATTTGTAGGACATCTTTTCAGGATCTTCTGGCTTTCATAGTTTCCATTGAGAAGTCGGGTGTAATTTGGATAGGTCTGCCTTTATATGGTACTTGGACTTTTTCTTTAGCTTCTCTTAATATTTTCTCTTTATTCTGTAGGTTTGATGTTTTGAGTATTATGTGGTGAGGGGACTTCTTTTTCTGGTCTATCCTGTTTGGTGTTCTGTAAGATTCTTGTATTTTCATAGGCATATCCTTCTTTAGGTTAGGGACATTTTCTTCTATGATTGTGTTGAATATGTTTTCTGTATCTTTGAGCTGTATTTTTCACCTTCCTCTATATCTATTATTCTCAGGTTTGGCTTCTTCACAGTGTCCCATATTTCCTGGATACATTGTGTTAGGGATTTGTTGGATTTGAGATTTTCTTTGGTTGATGACTGTATATCCTCTAATGAGTCTTCAACACCTGAGATTCTCCCATCTCTTGTATTCTATTGGTGATACTTGCATCTGTAGTTCCTAATCATTTACCCAGCTTTTCTATTTCCAGCATCCCCTCATTCTGTGTTTTTTTTATTGTTTCTATTTCAGATCTCAAGCCTTCAACTGTTTGAGTTGTTTCCTTCATTTGTCTGGTTGTTTTTTTGTTGGTACTCTTTAGATTCTTTAAGATATTTATTTCTTGATTTTTTGGTTCATCTTTCCCTCTTTTCATGTATTTTTTCATTTGTTTTTTCTTCTATTTCTTTAAGGGATTTCCTCATTTCCTCTTTGAGGGTATCTATCATCTTCATAAAATAATTTTTAAGGTCTGTCTCTTCTGCCTCATCTATGTTGTGCTTTTGAGGACTTGCTGGCATGGGGTCTCTATATTCTGGTGGAGTCATATTGGTCTTTCTATTGCTGTGTGAGTTGCTATTCTGTCTTCTTCCCATCTCTTCTTCCAGTGGGTGCAGGTGGGGTCTTTCTCTCTCCACTTGTCTCCTTTCCCGAAGCTGAAGCTGGGCACGCCGGAGGGTGGAGTCTGGAAGGGCTTATGTCTTTCCTGTGTGGGTGAGTCCTCTTGATGCCTGGAGCAGGCCCCTGGAAGTTGAGGGAGTGGGTGGTGGTCAGGGCAGGGTTCCCAGGAGGACCCAAGGTCACCTGGGGCTGACCATGCAGGTGTGGGGAGAGCTGCTTGTTGGGTCTGTAAGGACTGATGTCTTTCCTGTGAGGGCAGGTCCTCTCAATGCCCGGAACAGCCTCTGGAAGATTGTGGGAGTGGGTGATGGGCGAGGGAGGGGTCCCTAAGAGGACCCAAGATCATCTGAAGTTGGGCACACTGGGGTAGGGTCTGGAAAGACTAACGTCTTTCTTGTGTGGGCATGTCCTCTTGGTGCCAGGAATGGGCCCTGGAAAATTGAGGGAGTGAGTGACGGGCAGGGGAGGGATGCCAGGAGGACCCAAACTCACCTGATGCTGGGTACACCAGAGGGTGGGGTCTGGAAGGATTGGCATCTTTCCTGTGTGGGCGGGTCCTCTCGATGCCAGGAGTGGGCCCAAAAAAGATTGAGGGAGTGGGCTATGGGCAGAGGAGGGGTCCCAGGAGGACCCAAGCTCACCTGAAGTTGGGCATGCCAGAGGGTGGGGTCTGGAAGGACTCTAAGTTGATACTTTTTTAACCAGAAAATTCTCTGCAAATCTCTGCATCCTGGATTGGGGGACTGAATAGTGGGAAGGTAGTGAACCAAAGAGTTTAGAATGAGATGTGTGTTGCCCACCCTAGATAGACTCTGGTGTGCAAGGGGGCGCTTCTCACGTGATACAATTGAAGGGTCAGGACATTAAGACTGTATAACTCATGTCAGACCTCTTCCTACAATCCCCAGTTGCTGGGATGCCTAAGAGTCTCATAATGCTGTGGGAGACCCACTTATTTTTTAAATATTTTTTATTATTTTAATTTTAAATAGCTTGTTTTACATGTCAATTCCAGTTCCCTCTCCCTCCCCTCCTCCCGCACCCCCCACCATCCCCCCCCATCCTCCCACCCTATTGCCAATTCCTTCCACATAGGGGATATCTAGAGTCTGTCATTTCACTCAGGGTAGGGTCTAGGCACTCCCCCTAAGAGACCAGGCAGAGAGAACAACCTTCTTTGTGTTATGGACACACGATGTCTGTTAGTATTCGAGGGGTAAACACTGATCCACTGCTCAGGACCCCATAGGTAGCCCAGGCCTCCTCACTGACTCTCACATTCAGGGGGTCTGGATCGGTCCCATGCTGGCCTCCCAGCTGTCTGTCTGGGGTCCAAGAGCTCTCCCCTGTTCAGATCAGCTGTCTCTGCTGGTTTTGCCAGCCCATTCTTTGCCAATTTGCTCATCGCTCCTCTCTCTCTGTCGCTGGGTTGCTTGGATTCTCTTCAGGGTTTAACTGTGGGTGTTTGCCTCTGCTTCCATCAGTCACTGGATGAAGGCTCCAGGATGGTTATAGATATCAAGTTCATTGTCAGGAATGGTAATTCGAGGTGGTCTCTACACTATTGCTTAGCTTGCCAGTTGGTGAGACCTACTTCTTAAATCCACCTTTGTGGACCAGACATGATTTACTATGCTTTTTTGTTCCTCAGGAAACAAGTACCTCTGTTCTCTTTGGCTGGCTTATGTGGCTACCCAGGGTACAGGTCAACTTGAAGCAATGGGTTGGAAGAAGCAATATATAAAATCAGGTTAGCTGTTCCTCTCACAGTTTTCCAAGTCAGTTCTTCAGGATAGCAGCTCCTAAGGGCCTCAGAACCATGGCTGTTCTATGGCTGCTACTGCTAGCGGGGCTGCCCACATTCTTACTGGGACTCTTTGTATGGGCTGTGGCTAAGCATTTTCTCACAGCAGAAGTTCCTTCCTCCTTACAGCATCCGATCAAATTCAGGGTTATGCATTGTATGACGCTTCTCATGGTTGGCTTGGTGAGTTTGCTCCTGGGCATGCGTTTTGTATCTTACTCTTTCTTCTCTTTTCATTTGCCTCTCTCCTTTCTCTGGATTCCCACTAGACAGAATCTGAGGAGTTTCCTATGTTTCCTCTTTCTTACCCTGCCTCCTTTGTTTCACTCACTCATTTTTCTTCTATCCTTCCATCCTCAACTTCTTTTCCCTTTGAGATAAGGCCTCATGATATAGTCCAATTTGGCCTTGAGCCCGCTGCTCCCACCTCCCAAGGGATGGAATTATAGACTGCATCACCACACGTGTCTACTGGGCTCTTTTCTGGAGACTGCAAATGAATTTCAGATGGAGTTTCTGCCCACCAAGGGCTCACTGTCTGAGAGGTTCTACTAACACCTTCAGCCACAGCTTGCATTCCCATTTGCCTGTCTCCAGGTACTCTTTCTTTGCATTAGATCCGAGAGACCTTGAGACCAGAGATTAACATGTTCCACTCTGTCCTGAGCACAGGGCAGGCATTGTTTGCAGACCGGATCATGCCTGTGATAGTCAGTCAGGCTTTCAGCCTGGCTGCCCCAAACAGTTGAGCTCTGTGCCAGGTTTGGGACTCAAGATTAGGCTCAGAGATTAGCACCTGCTAACAGGTGCAGCACGTATGAAAAGAATATGGGAGACAGGCGATTTGAAAAAGTCCTAGTGCTCCCATACTGGAGGGATACTTGTCGTGGTCAAGTAGTTAACAGTTATTACCCCAGGGGGTGTTGAGAGGGAAGATGTGGGAAGGAAAGGCGTGGGAAGCACTTAGCCATGCCTGCTCATGAGCCTTTCTGCTCTGCTCTCACTGGCTGTGAGCCTCTTGTTTAACCCATGTCTCAGAATCCTCGTGGGACAATGGCTTCTTTCTCATCAGGTAGGTGAAAGCATTAGGCTTCTGGCCATATGTCTCCATAGACTCTGATAAGTGGTAGAACTGTGTGTTTCTGTACTATGGGTGATTTTTCACGAGGAAAAATGGACCATGCTGGAGAAATAAACAAGACTAAGAATTTCAGGCTAGGCTAGAGCCCCAGAACCACAAATGTGGGCCTCGAATCTCCAAATAACTCCCAAACTCGTGGATCTTTCTAACCATTAGTTTTTCCCTTTAAGAATAGGCCCCAATTCTCTAAATTTTGATCATCTTGTAAGAGCCTGAGAACCAGGGTGCTTGCTGCAAGATAGCATCTTCTGGACTCAACAGGGGAGCTGCACCTGTAAAATCTCAGCTATGGCTGATGAGATACAGCTGCCTAAATAAGACCTGCACAGTGACAATACCAGTTGTCGTGGTGATGTGGGTTGGAGAAATTTCACAGGGCCTCAACCTCAGATGAAGAGCTTCATAGAGTAATCAATGGCTTCATAGAGAGGGAGAATTAGTTTCTCCAGGGCAAGGTCTACTATAGGTCATCTAATTCCAAGTGGTCAGCCCAAACACATGCACATAACAACAATACTAAATGGACCAAGTAGGTTTCATATACGTGTGTGTGTGTGTGTGTGTGTGTGAGTGTGTGTGTGTATGTATAACAATAACAAAGAAGAGGAGATCATGAATTTGAGAGGGAGTGAAGGGGAACAGTGAATGGAGGTAGAAATGATATAAATGATATTAATACAGTACACAAGTATGAAATTCTCCAAAATGTAAATAGAAAACAAAGAATAGTCACTAAGCTAAATACTCACAGTTGACAGCTGTTACAGGTTTTCACAGAAGATGCACTGATGATCTAGGTTAGGTTCACCAGGATGTCCTTAGCTTAGCAGGACCCTGCCTCTTCTGTCCGTCAGAAAGCCCCCAGGGCATGCTGTCCAAGAGGGAGGGTTACAGGAAGAAATCTAGGTGTTTTAAGACACTTATGTCTGAAGACACAGAAAAGGGAGGAGTAAGAGGTTTAAGGAGAAGAAAGAAACCTGTAAAGAGTCTACAGTTGTCAAATCAGATCCTGTTCTTGCTCCCATACAAACATGAGCTTGAGAGCCAGATGCCAGAGGAATTAGCTTTGTAGTCTCCTGCCCTGGCCAGCAGGGCACAATGGGTTCGAGCCCACGGGAACCTGGAATGAATGAGACAAGAGACAAGAGAGAGGTGGGCAGCAGAACAACATGGCTGATCGAGCTGCTTTTAATGCGAGCTTCATACAGGCTTAAATATGGGAAAATGAGGTAGAGGGTTGCCGGACAATATGGGAGGGGTCAGTGCCTAGTAATAGTCTGAGGAGTGTCTTTGTTCACATATCCAGGAGTGTGTTTTTGGTCACATATGAGGGGTGCTGGCAGACTACCACTGAGGCTAAGCAGCAGAAATGAAGAGGTGTTAGTGCTAAGTAGCCTAATTACAAGGAGGAGGGTTGAGTAACCTAACTGTAGACTGCTATCAGCTATTCCTGTGAGCCCAGGTTCTATTTATTAGGAAGCTGGGGAGGGGACAGACTATTCTTAAAAAAGACTGACAATATTTACAAGAGGTTTTTAAATAACAATGATCGCTCCCAACAGTCTCCAATTTTCTTTTGTTTCTGGAAAACAAAAAAGTGGAGATATTTTAGACTAGGCACAGTACAAGCTTTTGACCCCAGCATTTATAAGCAGAAAAAAAAAGGTAATGAGTTAAGGTCAGCCATAGCTACATAATGAGTACGAGAATAGCCTGGGCCATATGAATCCCTGTATCAAAGAGGCAAAAAGTAAAAAGAAAGAAGGGAGGGGATCTGTAACATGATAAATAAATGACCCAGAGACTGATGTTGGGATTCAAACTTCAAGCTGAAGATCAGAAAAGCAAAGCAGCCAGACATGAGCTCTCACCTCAAGCGTAGGCTGAAAGGGCTGATTCATGAGCTCTTCACTAAATCTCAGGCTGCCGCCTCTCCTCAGTGTGGCTGGAGAATCCTGAGACTTCAATGTCTTCCTCTCCTCAATGTGGCTGGAGAATGAACGCTTTCCTGTCTTCAGTGTGGCTGGAGAACGAACGCTTTCCTGTCTTCAGTCTTCAGTGTGGCTGGAGAATGAACGCTTTCCTGTCTTCAGTGTGGCTGGAGAATGAAAGCCAGATCTGAGACTCTTACACACCTCCCTAACGCTAAAATTAAAGGCATGAGCTCTGTTACTCTTCACTCTTGTGTCAGTCATGGTGGTCTTGAACTGACAGAAATCTGTCTACCTCTTAATCCTGAGTCCTAGTGTAACACAAATAAATAAATAACCAAGAGACAGATATTAGAGTTCAAGCTTCAAGCTGAATATCAGAAAAGCAAAGCAGCTGGTCACTAGCTCTGACCTGTAGCTCAGGCTCAAAAGGCTGATCTACTCACGAGCTCTTCACCAACTCTCAAACTGTCACCTCTCCTCAGTGCGGCTGGAGAACGAATGTTCCTGTCTTTAGTGTATCTAGAGAATGGATGCCTCTCTGAGACCTTGCTTCTGTCTTATATACTTTCCTAATGTTGGAATTGAAGGTGCGAGCTATAAGCGAGGTGGTGGTGGCGCACGCCTTTAATCCAAGCACTCGGGAGGCAGAGGCAGGTGGATCTCTGTGAGTTCGAGGCTGGGCTGGACCGACAGCCTCCAAAACAAAACAGAGAAACCCTGTCTCATAAAACAAAACAAAACAACAAAAAAACCAGAAACAAAACAACAACAACAAAAAGGCATGAGCTATAATTCTCTTCTAAACTGTTTCACTCTTGTGTAGATCTGGGTGGCCTTGAACTCACAGAGATCTGTCTATCTCTTAATCCTGAGTCCTAGGTTTAAAAGTGTGTACCACCACCTCCTAGCTTCTGGCTGCTGGAATTAAAGGTGTGTGCCTGGCTTCTATGGCTTGTGACTGACATTGCTTTCTGAATCTTCAGGCAAGCTCTAATCAATCATAAACAATGTATCACCAGAGGTGTAGTTTCACAGGAGTGATAAGAAGAGTAAACAAGCACTGAAAACAAGCTACAAGGATCTGGGTGTGAAGGACCCAGTCAAACACCTCTAGTGTCTTACAAGTCCCTAGAGACAAGGATTCAGCATTTCCCGAAGTTGTCACTGAGTTGAAGGTTGCTGTGAATGGATCCAACCCTACTACAAAATGTAAAGAATTGCATGGTACAGTTCAGAGCTGGAACCCTTGTCTGGAATGTGTGACATAGTGGGCTTGAACCCATCGCTAATGTATACATAATATATATGTATACACAGATACACACAGAGTGAGAGAGAGAGAGAGAGAGAGAGAGAGAGAGAGAGAGAGAGAGAGAGAGAGAGAGAAGAAACAAGATTGATTTTAAAGACCATTGTTTCTAAGAATGTTCTAGGATCTCTCTGAGGCTTGGACCATAGACATTCCTGAGATATTGTATATTTTTAATACAATAATGATACAGTTATACTGATATAATAAAAATCAGCAAATAAATATTAGGTAATTATCTTACCTGGAACTCCACATCTGCCCTAATTTTATGCCATGGAAGACGTCTATACAAAACAATATACATTTAAGACATGTGTCACATCTTTGGATAGTGTTAGCTTTAGAGAGCTGTACTGGACATTGCATTATCCAAACTTCCTGAACAAGGGTTTATTATTCTAGAGGCAGAGACTAAGGGCCCACTGGAATGTGATTGTTTCCAGCAGAGACCTCTAGTATGGGGGAGAGAGATGCGCAGATGTTTATATACTTGTAATAAAAAGTCTTACATGATGTCTATGAAAGTCTGGTACTATAGTGAAGGCAGCAGAGGAGGAAGTAGCTACTCCTACAAGAAAGGGTGCCTTTTTCAAGAATATGATCCACAAATTTGGATACTTAAGTCATTTGAAGCCATATGCATGGGCCACATAAAAGTCTCCCAGGGAAGGATGGATGGTTAGATGAGTCACGGGGTATGGGAAACATACTGAGATAGGGCTAACCTAGGCCAAGAAGAAGCAAATTGATGCCAAGGTATTCAGAGATGAGTTATTGGTAGCCCTGGTGAATTCAG